ACTTTAATTTTTAGCTAACCAAAAGTTAGCACTCAAACAGCTACTAACAAATTGTAAAACAGTGGTTTTTCTTATTTTAGCTGGTCTCCAAGCTTCACTAGTAATCATTATTAACCAAAGAAAAGCAGTAAATGAGAAGAAAAACAAAAATATCAGTGATAATCTTTAAACAGAATTAATAAAAGTAAAATCCACATGAAGACAGTATTAAACATGGCTAGCTTGGGTCTCTCTAGTCCGACTTGGAGACTTGGTCAAGACTCCTACACCAGTCTCAGTCTCCCTAAAATTTTTAATTTCTCACCTATACAACTAGTAGTAGTTTTCTCTATGATATACTACTATGTACTACACAATCATCACCTACAAATGTTAATCATTTTAATTGTTATTTTAGACCTATATATTGTTCAGGCACAGAAGTGGGGGGGGAAATGGGAGAAAGGGAGATAGAGGTATTTATGGGGGGGAAAGAACCCAACCATTACTTCAATTACTCTGGTACTGTGTATCTCAATGCCAAGAAAATAATGAAATATTTATCAAAACACTCAAGTTGAATAAAGCTGCCCTTGAACAACTACTGTAAGTAAATTCAAGGATTAAAGTTAATTGTTAAAAACCCTGGTCACTAGAGTCATCTTTATCCTGATATTACTGCTTGGAGCAACAGGAGAAATTTAAAGAAAAATAATCACAAACAGTAAATCTTATGTGGTTCTTTTCTATAAAAGAACCATTCACTTCCAGTTCAAATTCCTAATCACATTTAAAATGCATGTTCTTAGATAAGTAACTTGAAAACCCACTAAGGTTGAGCAATACGTAAACCACAGGCTTCTGAAGCAAAGAAAAGGGCAGAAGGGGGGTTGCTCTCATCACAGGTTTATATAAATAAAGGTGGAAACTAAGTTAGAACTACTACACAAAGTTCTGACAGAGAAAACAACAAATCTCCTATTCTTTTCTGACAGATTAATTTAACTCTAATCTCAATTTTACATCAGAAAATAAAATACCACGTATGTCTAAATACCTACAATCTTTTGGACTCTCCTACCTCTCCTGCTCTAAGGGAGCTAACAGGATTCAACAGCATAACAACAAAACAATAAATGAGTCAAATGACCAGTTATTAGGCTATCCTGGCAAAGTGTGCAACTATTACGGTATTTTTTAATCTCAAGAGAGATAATTAAGTGAAAAAAATAACCCTCAACTTTCGCTACATTCGTCTGTTAATATAAACCGCTTCAAAAATAAATTTTAGTCAATTTTTTAAAAACACTTCTATTGAATGCCTATGACTCACTAAAATAAACTAAATGCAGTAACAAATCATAATACCAGTCAATCCTCAAATAAACAATTAAAAGATGATACTCTTTTGTCAAAGGATTTTTATTACAGCAATTAATATTCACAACTTTTTTTTTTTAACCAAGATTTGTTTATAAACTTAAGGCAACATTACCTTCTGGAGGCAGAAAATATATACTCATTTTTTAAGTTAAAGGTTCTTAATATACCTTCTCTTCCTCTCAGTTTCTGTTCCTAGTAATGACTTTCTGAAACTTTTTGGAACTTAATGAACAATTTGAAATACAAAGCCACTTCAAAAATTTGTTTCAAAAAATTTCTGTAATGGATTAAAAAGTTAGGAATTGTTACCCCTTAAAACAATTTACTTCATGAAAGACCAGATTAAAAGTCAAGCCCTGTAATTGTTTAAACAACTACCTAATTCTACAATGGAACACTAAACTGCATTCAGAATGTAATCTAAACTCATATTTAGGAAGTAAATTGGCTATTTGTTGAGTTTTTTCCTACCTTTCTATTAATCCATAAAGCCATACTGACCATATGGATTTGTCTCTTACTTCAGAAGCACAAAAACTTCAAATGTGAACAGTTTCATCTGAAATATTCTTAACAATTCTTTCTGCATTTCAATTTACTTAACAGTTCTTTACAGACTGCCCAGGAAACTGAAGCCAAGGAACCTGACTGCAAGAAACTGAAAGGCGTCCAAAGAATAACATAGGATAAAGTTGACTCATTACAGTTTACAAATGAACATTTGATTTGCTCACCATATAGTACTTACAAATTCCAACAGGACTGCACAGGAAGGTGTTGGGTTTGTCTCTGTTATCTTTATGTTTTCCAGTTTGTTTTTTTATTTTGTATCCTCTGAAATAATATCCAAGTTCTTTGAAGACACTTAACCTATGGCTATTTGACATAGAGTTACTTCAGTCAGCTACCCATACTTCTGTTTTAAAGTTTTCATATGGCTATCACCAGAATTAGCCAAGTTCCTTGGATTTTAAGATTTTAAAGTCTTCTTTATTATTCCATGTACTTGTCACTGTTGTACTTATCCACTCCAGATGAAATAATCCAATTTATGAATCAAAAAGCAAAAACAAAAAGAAAATTTCACATCTGAAGAGCATTCCTAAACATCAGCATAAACAGAGACTATCTCAATACTACCATGCTGCTGGGAAACTGCCACATCTTAAATTTCCACGTAAATAAAAGATAAAAGCAAAAAAACTCTGTATTCATTCAATGTCTTCATTTAGAAAAGCTGTCCCATTGTGACATGAAAAGGGCTGAGGTCAAAAATTCCTAAAACTTTTAATAAAGGTAAAAATAAACTGCCATGAAAAACTTCAGCAATATTTAAACAGTAATTTGAAAACTGCCGAAACTACTCAGTACACAAATCAAACTTATCTTACAGTTTTGGCTGAAGAACACCAACAACAGGGGAGGGGTTGGGGGGGAAGCAAAAATACCACCAGCTGAAACACTTTAAACCAGTTATATAATCCGTTTGAACCAAAATACTGAAGAAATGCCTGGATCTCTTTTTAAGTAGCTTGTAGAATTGTTCACTACTATCAATTCACTTCAGAGATGATTCTTGCCAATTTTAATAAACTTCTGGGGTAAAATTATCCAAAAACACTGTAATTCCAAAATGGCCACTTGAAATATCCGGGGCCTTTTACACAAAACCTAGAAGATGATCTTCATATCTGAGTAATTCAATCACCTGTAAAAGTTATAAAAAAATTTTTTTAATTATACACTTAATTTTAATTTTGAACTAAACATTAATCCCCATCCTCAACAGTCAACCTCTGGAGAGAAAGACACTTCCGCACCCAAAAAAGGTCTACTGTATGAAAAGGACTTCAAAATATGTAGAGGGGGAGAAAAAAAGGTGGGAGATGGTATTATGGTAGACAAGTGCTGATTCCAACTGGGAAGGGTGTGCGGATATAAGGTAAAGGAATTATATAAGCAAACCTCCTTATACTTTGAGTAAATGTTACAAACGAGCAAACAATCTTCTAAGAGATCTTCCGTATTTTCTATTCAAATCTACCAAAAGAAAACGAAAAGACAGGTGTGCTGCCACGCAGCATTACTAAATGCAACTTAGCGAATGAGGGATATAAAGAGAAAGACGCTCCCTCCAAATCAGAATGTCCAAAGGAAAGGGGCACATTTTCTCCATTCAGAGTAGGAAGGTAAGTGGCCGGGAAGTGGGACAAGAACATTCCTTAAATCCGCCCGAGGGTGAGACTTACCCGGCAGCCACGAGATGTGAGGGTTCCCATTTCCTTGAATTAAGAAAACAGGTTTCTCTCAACACTGAGGGGGTGGAAGGTACTGAGCCCTTCTCGTATACCACGTTAAGAATGCTTTTCTCCCCAACCAGACCGAGTTCCCTCAGACCCTACACGACTCAGAGGGGCAAGGCTGCGCTCGCCTCGGTCCACAGTCACGGACCTGGAGAGGCGGGCTGAGCGGGTGCGCTGAGAAACAACCAAAGGCCACAACTCGGCCTCGACACTCTCAACCCTCAGACAGCGGCAGCGGTGCAAAAGGAGGCGGGAGCCTGCGAGAGGCCGAAGGGAGGAAGACCGAGCACGAAAGGCGTCGGACCCATTCCCAGCCTACACCAAACAACACCCCCCCGCCCAAGCCGCCCGGGCTAAGCCACCCACCCCCTCCCACAACCGCCACCTCCGCTCCACCCGGACCAAGTCAATACCTAGAGGGGCCTCGCCGCGCCGTCCTTCCCTCTCTGTCCTCGCTCTCCCGCCACCCACCCCCCAGTCCTCGGGTAGCCTCACACCTCGCGCCGCCAACGCCGCTCCCGACCCCTCAAACCTCAACGCCGACACGGGTACCCCCTCCCATCCCTAGACCCTGGCGCCGAGCGCAGAGGACGCTATTACCTTCTGCCACACCAGAGGTGCCCCTGGCCTAGGGGTGCCGCTGCGCTCGATCCCGGGAGGAGGTTTTCGGTACTTTGAATAATCCCCTTTTGCCGCTTTTCCCTCCCCCACAACCAGTCTCAGTCCCAAAATGGCGCCGACCCGATCCGCAATGTTCTGGGCCAAGTCTCGCGAGATCGTGGAAGGTGGCGAGGCGGGGAAGAAACTAAAAGGGCTGAGGAGAAGGGAGGGGAAAGGCGGGGCGAGAAGGAGGAGGGAGATAGGGTGTGGAAGAAGCGGTGCGAACGAACCTACTGGGCGGGGCAGCAGGAGGAGCGTCTCCACCAGAGAACCTTCTGGCCTAAGCAGCCGCTCACGCCCCGGCCAAAGAAGCCCCGCCCTCTACGACGAGCGGCTGGGGGAGGGGAAGAGGGCGTGGTTATGCCTAGGGGAGGGGCTTCGAGGAGGTCCCGGAGGCAGGGGCGCGCGGGGGGCGGTGGCTCCGCGCGGTGACGTCAGGAGCAGCTGGAGTCGGGGATTACCCCCTGCTGCTGACGTGAGGATGGTGAACAATCGGGAATGTTCGGTGGAAGGGGGAATTCCCCGCTGCTCCCTGAGGAGCCCCTCCTCCCGTCCTTCCCCCCGTCCGCTCCCGCCCCGGAGCCTGGGATGGTGGGGCTACGGGAGGGCGAGAGGAGAACGCCGATTCGGCAGGCGGTCCGCGCCGGCTCGAGAGGCTCGCGCCGCGGCGTCTACCCTGGCTGGATGCTCTGAGGAGCGGCGGCGCGCGCGATGCGCCGGATACCTCGCTCAGGCCTGGGAGGCTGAGAGATCACATGCTTGCCGGTACACAGACCTGCGCGAGCGGAGCGCCGACGGAGTTGGCGCAGGACTAATCCGGCGCCTTGAAGCCGCGGATCCACTGTCGTATGCAAATACGAGAGTGTCGAACATAAATAATATACGCGAGGCCGGTGACTGAGGAGACGAGACTCGCCGGTTGGGAACGAAGCCCAGATTGTTAGGGATAAAAGTAGCTACTGGATATAACCGTGCTAATTATCGTTTTTCTCTTTATTAGATCTACGGCAGGAGAGGATTATTTCAACAGTGTCTCGGTCCCTCACAGCTCGTAAGGTTCGGTATAATAAATTTTGTGGGCGTCACCGTTTTCTAATTGCGATGCTTTTTTGCCTTGAAACTGAAGACTCACGTTGAAACCTGTGAAATCAGCCTTTCAAGGGGTATCGCAAAGTAAGAAAAGTAACCGTATTTCTTTAGAAAATATGTAGGGGAGGGGTGTCTTAACGAGGGAAAAACCGGAGAAGAAAAATTTCTTGGCTTTTCGCCCTCCTCCAAGCCATGAGGATTTCATACACGGAAACTTTATGGTTCTTTTATGTGCATTATGGGGTTTGTAGTTTAATGAACTGCTTCTAAAAGCTACCTGAAAAAAATAAAAATAAAAAAAATAAAAGCTACCTGAAAGAATGTTTGAATATAAATTCACCAAAAATTACACCTCCCAATCTTTTCGTTTTCGTAGGGAAGATGGACACTTGGCAATTAATAATGCCTCGCTGAGTGCAAAGAAATGAGAATTAACACTTGCTAGATTCCTTGTCTGTGCCAAGTACTTAATTTTTACACTAGTTTCTGAAGTGGTGTTGTTTTCCTCCTTTTGCAGATGAGGAAACTGGTTCAGATTACACAACATGGGATGTGGTGCCACCACTTGGCTGTACCATACTTTAACTCAATTGTGTTTGGGTCTTAATTCACGTTCTTTATACCACAACGCATTGCTTCCATAGAAATAACGTACGTATTGGGACAAGACCTGCTGCTGCTTCTATTTCTAAGCATGGTGTCAATTCAACAAACAAAGGAAAATATTGATGCTTTGAAAACACGAATTGTACCTTTCATATGGCAAAAGATATAAAGCTGAAAAGCCAATAGTGAATGGAGAAACAGTTGTAACATGGATGACAAAAATATTAATATTTAATTATATACAGTTGGTTACTATGCACAATAATAATGTTCAATTTACATAATAAATACATTAAGAGCTCTTACAAATTATTAAGGAACAGGCAACCATACTAACTTCTTTTAAAAGGTCAAAGGACATGAAGAAGCCAGTCATGTATGTGTCAGTAATTACATGAAAAGATGTTCTACCTCACTAAAAATCAGAAAAAATGAAAATAAAACTAATAGTGACATACTGTACTACATTTCACCTAGCAGACTGACAAAGATTTAAAAAGAATAAAAACTAGATGAAGGTATAAGGAATAGGCATTTGTGTATCAACAGCTATTCTACATCTGAGAATTTTTATTAGTAAAATAATAAAGGTGTCCAACAATTTTATAAAGATATCCACTGATAAGTTGCTTATAATTACAAAAGCCATTTAAAATGATGATATACTTCTTTGTAAAAAATGATAACATGAAAAGATGTTCACAGCAGACATTACTGAAAAATGTCAGTTACAGGACTGTCCATTTTCTGTCATCTAGAAAAACTATATCAAAAGATTAAGTCTGACTAAATAGATATAAAAATGTTACCAATGTTTATTTCCAGGTAGAGAATCTTTATACTTGTTAAGGGCCTGTGTTATTTTTCTAATCATTAAAAAACAAGCTAACTAAAAAAAATACAAGAATCTGTCTTCAACCAGTAATATGGTTTCCATTATTTTATTCATTTAGTGAAATGTAAACAAAGGATTTATCACATAATAGTTTATTTTATTAGTTAGCATAACATTATAATAGTTTGAAAAACGCTTTTTTAATCAAGCCCTGTATAAGAAATAAGGGCTTCCCAGGTAACTCAATGGTAAAGAAATCTGCCTGCCTATGCAGGAGATGAAAGTGATGCAGGTTCAATCCTTAGGTAGGGAAGGTTACCCTAGAGTAGGAAATGTTAACCCATTCTAATACTCTTCCCTGGAAAATTCCATGGACAGAGGAGCCTGCCAGGATACAGTCCATGGCATCGCAAAGAGTTGGACACAACTGAGCATGCACACACTCTTCACTTTATATAAGAAATATTGACAAACTTCACAACTCTTTCAGTGATTTTATAAATATTAGTCATAAAGAGATTAAGTAACTTGCTTCAAAATAATGTTAGCTCAAGTATACATGATGTGTAAATGAAGGTATTCATTTCCAACTTATGTGTAATAGTGAAAACCAGAAAACCTAAATGTCTGCCAACCAAGTGTGTGTGTGAGTGCATGCTCAGTGGTGTCCAACTCTTTGCGACCCCAGGGACGTAGCCTACCAGGCTCCTTTGTTCATGGGATTTTCTAGGCAAGAATATTGGAGCGGGTTGCCATTTCCTACTTCAGGGTATCTTCCCAACTCAGGGATGAACCTGCCTCTCTTGCATCTCCTGCACTGGCAGAAGGATTCTTTACTACTGTGCCACCTGGGAAGCCCCTACCAGTCAAGTACTGGTTAAAAAATTAATGTGTATCCATATAGTAGAATACTATACAGCTGTTAAGAATAAGATAGGCCAATATATGCAAAGATATTCAATATGTTAAGAGGTAAAAGTATGTGACAAAACAATATATATATATAGCATCAGAATTTGTTTTTTAAAGTATGTATATTTATATAGCAATAATGAAAGAATAACTTTAATATTCATCAGATCAAGATTTTTTGTTTTATTCACTTCTATGCTATTTGAATATACTATTTTATAATAATTTGATGTTTAAAACTTAATTGCCAAAAATCTAAAGCAGTTGGGAAGCAAAATATTTCTGTAGGAAACCTTGAATCTTTCCAAACTATATCCAGTGTTCCTTTTCTGTGTTCCCATTATGCAATCCTGTGTTCATATCTATGATTACCCATTTTTACCTCTACCTTGATCCTGGAAAGTGTCTAGGAACTTCCTTATCATCCCTCTACATGTAATTACAGTTGCTGATTTCCTTACTTGTCTCTACCATGGAACTCAAAGGTCCCTGAAAGCAGCAATTATGTTTTTCATATTTATTCATAGCAACTAGTATAGTTTTGGCCACAGCATAAATATTTGTTAAATGCATGGCTTCCCCACCTTAATCTTTGTTTTTGCCACATACTATTATACTTGTGGGCTTCCCTTGTAACTAAGTTGGTAAAGAATCTGCCTGCAATGCAGGAGACCCGGATTCAGTCCCTGCATTGGGAATATCCTCTGGAGAAAGAAATGATAACCCACTCCAGTATTCTTTCCTGGAGAATCCCATGGACAGAGGAGCCTTGTAGGCTACAGTCCCTGGGATCACTAGAGTCAGACATGACATAGCATCTAAACCACCACCAATAACAATTTTTAAGTACAAAAGTTGTACATGTAGAACATTTGACAGATACAGAAGAGTATAAACAAATAAAAATTACCTATAGTCCACCACCCAGAAATAATGGTTCTTAAGTTTTATTAATGTATTCATTTCAAGGATTTGTTCTTAGTATGTCTTTGTATCATCATATATGTTAAGCTAACCTTTATATCCGTTTTTTATTCCGTATGTTCAAAACTTCCCACATTTAAAAAATTCTTCCTTTTGTCTATGGTTCGTTTTAAGGATTAGCATAACATTTGATACCTAGTCTTTATGACCTGTTTATTTTAACAATAAGGATGGTCATTATTTTTGAGCCACTTTTCTAATGTACCTTTCCCTAGAAAAGGTTCCTGATCCTGTTAAGTTTCACTCAATTGCCCATGGGATTTTCCAGGCATGAGTACTGGAGTGGGTTGCCATTTCCTTCTCCAGGGGATCTTCCCAACCCAAGGATCGAACCCCGGTCTCCCGCACTGCAGGCAGATGCTTTACCATCTGAGCCACCAGGGAAGCCCCATTTCATGATTATAAATTTAAATTTACCAAGTATTTTCTCCTTTTGATGAGTTTTTTAGTTGTGACAGTGTTAGTCACTCAGTCATGTCCAACCTTTTGCTATCGCATGGACTGTATCCTTCCAGGCTCCTCTGTCCATGGAACTCTCCAGGCAAGAATACTGGAGTGGGCAAACATTTCCTTCTCCAGGGGATCTTCCTGACCCAGGGATCAAACCCAGGTCTCCTGCATTGCAGGCAGATTCTTTACTGTCTGAGCATAGAACTAATTGCTGGAGAATTGACAACTTACTCCTTTCTCAAAGCATATATGTGAATTGACAAATATTCTCTGGGCTCCAGTTATGGGTGGCCCAGTTTTGCTAATTGGCACTTACACGTCTGTGTTCCTCTCTTTGTTCTAGGAGATATGGAGGAACACTATTAGCATGAGCACAATTGTCAACAAAATTTTTAAATGTTCTCTCCAATATGTGACTTTCAAAACACAGACTTTTCTTGCATGGTATCTATAATTTTAAAAATATAGCATGTAAATGCATGTGAATCACTGAAGATAAAGTGAAAACACTTTGTAGAGTTTTTAAAAGTCTTGGAATCTATTTCAACATGTTGTTTCCTCTGTGATCTCTGAAAATGAAATGTGAGGAGCCCTGGAGGCACAATAGCCACCATCCCCTGCACCTTGTTACTGACTGAGTGACTTGAGAGAAACTGAGTCAAGACCTGGGCCCTGACTCTAGGTACAATAAACATGTGGGAAACTGCTTAGGAATAGTCTCCATGATGGAATTTCCTTTGTGTTTTTCCTCTTAGGTTTCCAAGTTCATCTAGGGGTAGCTCCATCCTCTTTTGGCTCTGAATATTCATTCAGTGAAAGGAAATCCATCAAGTACTTTAGAAGGTTTATTGAATCAATGGCTTCCCAGTAAAAATGAGTGGCAACACCGCCCCCCAACCCCACCCCACCCGGGCAAATAATTCTATTTAAATGCATTAATGCCACTTGTAACACTAAGTCTAATTGCCTAAGCATATAGGGATACAGACTGGAGGCTAAATGGCCTGGCCAAAAGTCAGTCAAACAGATCTGGAAGTAAAACTAAAGATTTCTCATTTTGATACCTAGTATTAAGCCTATAAGTTTCAGAATTAAGTAATACTAGATCACTTCAACTTTACTAAGACTAGAAGCTGTGCTCAAGCTAACCAGTTTTTAAAACAAAATCATAGGAATTAATATGGTAATAGTTTATGTTATCAGAGCATCTTTTATATTTTCACCCTTATCTTCCTTTTTAATTATGAAAATGATACAAGTTTATTCTAAAATCAAGCAATACAAAAGTATTTAATTGAACAACCATGTCCTACTATATAAAACAAAAAACTATGTTCACTATCTTGTGCTCAGTCACTCAGTCGTGTCCGACTCTTTGTTGTAGCCCATCAGGCTCCTCTGTCCATGGGATTCTCCAGGCGAGAATATGGAGCCAGTTGCTGTTTCCTCCCCCAGGGGACCTTCTCCACCCAGGGATCAAAGCTGAGTCTCCTGCATAATAAACTATAATGGAAAAACATCTGAAAATACATATACATACCAACTGAATCACTTTGCTATGTACCAAAGACTTAAAAAAAAAACTGAAAATCAACCATACTGCAATAAAACATTTAAAATTTTTAAAAACCTACTGGAGATAAAGGACATTCATGGAGGACTTCCTAAGCATCTGTCTTCTGCATAGATGGTTCAATGTATCTTAGGTCAAAGATTATTGTGAGGATCTAATGATAATAATGTACACCATTCCCGGGGGGAAAAAGCACATTTCTACATACATGCAAAAGGTATATGCTCTGTCAGAGGGTGCACAGTCAGTCCCCCGTAGCCCAGCTGACGAAGCTCTAGGAGAGTCAGGGGTGTCTCTAAGAATCTCAGTCCTACTTATAGGCATAGAAAACAAACTTGTAGTTACCAAACGGGAAAGGACAGGGGAGGGATAAGTTAGGAGTTTGGAATTAACATATACACCCTACTATATATAAAACATATAAGCAATAGGACCTACTGTATGGTACAAGGAACTATATTCAATATCTCATAATAACCTATAATGGAAAAGAATCTGAAAAAGAACAGGTATACACGTATGTATAACTGAATCATTTTGCTGTATACCTGAAACTAACACAATGTTGTAAATCAGCTATCCTTTAGTAAAAAGTTGTTTTGAAAAAGTGTATATAAATTAGAAGATCCTACTATACCTCCAGAAGGAAGCTCTTGTGAACAGTTTGTTGTGATCCTTGCAGAGTTTTTCTTATTCATGTATGTATCATGTCTATACATATTTTAATAAAATTGGTCTCTACACATTATTCTGCAACTTGTTTTTCCAACTTAGTAATAAATGGTCATCTTTCTTTGTCAGTTGCACTTAGTGCTAACTTAAGAATTGTATAATAATCCTTTGGAAGAATTTAACTTATTTAACCAGTATCTTATAGAAGAACATTTAGATTGTATCTAATTTTTTCTTCTATTAAACTGTATAGTGATAAATGTTTCTGAATTTAGAGAGTGTGTCTGGAGAGGAAGGAGAGAGAAGTGTTGGAAAATTAAGGTAATATGCCAGAGGGTGACTCACTGAGCCAAAGATGGTAGTTTAAAAGGAAGATTTGGCAAAATAACATTATTTTTTGAGCATTTAAAATGAACCAGGTCCTGGTTACTTATGATCCATGCTGCCATTTTTCTTTAATAGTGTTTCTATTTTTACTTTAATAGACTCAGATTCATCTGGATTCCACATAGTAGTGGAAAGATCATGGACTTTGAAATTAGGCAGACCTGGGCTTGAATACTAGCTCAATTCAATTCAGATTTAATTATATTTGGCACTGTTGTACATCTGTTGAGGATACAGAAATGATTAAGACACAATCAGTGCTCCAGATTCTCACAACCTGAGGGATAAAGCTGACCTAATATCTATTTTGTTCACTACTGTATCCTCCAGTGCCTAAAACAGTGCTAGCAATAGTAACCACTCAATATTTGTCAAATGAATGGATTTCAAGACTTTGTGCCAAGTGTTATGTTAGAAGCGTGCAGAGTGCTGTGAGGTGGCTTTCCAAGAAGAAACCTTTAAAAAACTGAGTCTGATGAGTTGAATATAATTCCAGGAGGGAAGGGCCTTCCAGTTAGAATTTGTTGCACAGTCAGAGATACATGGATGAAAATAAGCCAGAGCAATGGGGTTACAAAGAGTAACTGAGCGACTGAAAGATAGACTGAGCGACTAATACACACACACACACACACACACACACACACACGCAAGTCATTTCCAAAGATGCAAATGAAGTGACTGCCACCACAGAGACTGCTAGGAACCTTGAGGGAGGACTGGAGAAAAACACAGGAGAACAAATCCCAAGGGCCTAACTCTGTGCTAGGGAGATTAGGTGTTTATCCCCAAGGCTTTGGAGAGTCTTTAAGTAAGAAAGAAACATGTTGAATTCATGCTTAACAAAGAGCCTCCTTGTGATCCTCTGAAGAAGAGATTAGGAAAATGAAAGTCCACGAAGAGGAAAGCTAAAATGCTATGGCAGTAATCCAGGTAAAAGACGATGATGTCTTGAGATTGCTGCGGCCATTTTTCAGTTTCTCCTACACCCCTTAATTCTCCTCCACAATCCTTCTAACACATCACAACTGTGTAAATGGTCATCACACAAACTTCCTTTTGCCTGGAACACAGGTGATCTCCCACTTTCTGCCAGTTCTTACAAGCTTTCAAGTTTCAACTTAAATGTCACTTCCTTCGGTAGTCATCCCTGAGCTCCTTGTTCCCCTTGTACTCACCCTTATAGCACTGATGGTAACTATAAATTAAAGTTATTTTTATGGTTATTCGTTTGATATATACCTGGCCCAGTGGACTTGAGATTTCTTGAGGAATTGAGTGAGTGGAGTAGGTGAATGGACAGGGAAAGATTTGAACAGATTCAAGAGTGGATATAGAAAATGTTATGCTTAAATGTTTGTGAAGATAAGACAAGAGAACACTAGTTTCTAATCTGGTCATCCGTGTTGATGCTGGTGGCATTTTCTGAGTTATGAAATCAAGGCAGAGAAACAAATTAGGTGGAAGATGGGAAACTCACTTACTATGAGTTTGAATCTCAGATCACAAATTCAAGTGGACAGGAACGAGAACTCAGCTAGCTTTCCATAAAAAGTCCTATATCCCAGTTAATTTCAGGATCTCCCGTGCTGACTCCAATGATAACTAAGGCTACCGATTGTCTCAGTAATAACTATGCTGCTGCACTCTTGGAGTTATTTTGCATCTGTTTTATTTATGTCTTTTTTTTTTCTCTAATTTTCTCTCTTTCCAAGCCGTAAAGTTACTAAAACAAACTTGTCATAGCTGTTTGACATCTCTATCAAGATTCCAACAAAAAAGTAAATTAGAGCATGAGTAATCTTGATTGGAACGAGATGATTTCTGATAAAAAAATTTACTAAATATTGGAATTAATAACAGGCTACTTTAAGAAATTTCCATCTTTTAAGTGTCAAACTTGAAAGAAGTTTAAAGTGGAGACCCATAAAAAAAAATATTGATGGAAGAGTGGGAGCTGGCCAGTACTTCTTTCCTTTGAAAACTTCTAGAATGCCTGTTTCGAAAGGGACCCATTCTGTGTAGTATGATTTGGGACCGACCCCACCCCGTTAGCCATTTGCCTCCCCACCCCTCAGTTACAGGGATGAAGCTGGGTCCTATCCCTGCCTAATTGGAACACTATCTCCATGGCCCCAGTGCTGATTTGAGCACCTGTCTCAAGCTAGACTCATCAGAACCTTCTCTCAGACTTTTCTACAGGAACTATCAAGAAAACATTCTCTATTAGGGTTACTAAAAACTCAGGAAGAGCAAATCTGGAATTTCCAGTGCAGAAACTCTGGAATTCTCATCCTGCCTACTATGTGGCTCTTAGAGGTAAACATAATCAGAACCCTAACATCCTCTCAGTCCTTAGACCTAGTCCTACTTGAAATAATGACCATCCTTGGACTTTAGAGTAATGCAAACAATTTTTCTTTATTGCTTTACTAGTTTGTGTTACATTTCTGTCACTTTCAGTTTAGGAGTGTCTATGAATGTAGGGTCTTTGTCCTGTAGGCTGGCTGATACTATGCAATGTTTTCTTTCAGCTGTGATATCCCAAGTCAGTTGTGAAAGACCTTCAGTTTCTGGTAAAGAAACTGGCCATCTGAAACAACCAATGGGGTAAGTGTAGCAATTCTGATGTTTTTCTCCCTTTTGTGTCTACACTGTGGCTAACCCAAAGAAGAATCAAATTCACTTATCCTATCTTAAATAAGTTTCCCTTTAAAGCAGGATTTCTTTTGTGGAAAATAAATTGAAAAGGAAGCAATTTATCCTATCCAATTTTCCTCTATTACCCAGGGCAGACACTCTTTTCACTTCCACAGAATGAAAAGGGCATCTGAGAAAGACTCTGGGAAGTCTACCTACAGTTAGCATTCTTTTCTACTGTAAAGAATGAATTCAGCCAGACTTCTGGAGTGTAAAATGAATAGGTGAAGGAAGGCAATCACTTTAAGGGGAAAAAGTTGGTGACTCAAAGAGTGAGAGAAAAGCATAATTGGAATAAGAAAATAAACTGGATAAGAGAGAAAGAAAACTGAAACAGAAAAATAACCTTATTTAGAATTTTCTTTGTTGTTCTTTGCCTTAACTTACATGCAAAAAATTTATTTATCAATTCCATAATCATTCATCCATTAAAAAAACAACAAAGTCCTATAAAGCCTATTCTGACCTAGGCAGAGTCTAAATGCTGAGGATGCAACAAGGAATAAGATACTCATCACTCCATCTATATTTATAAAAATCAAAGTTTGATTGTAGGCAGGATTGAGGAGAGGGGGAAATAGGTGAGGGAAATTAAGAAGTGTAAACTTCCACTTACAAAATAAGTCTCAGGTATGAAATTTACAGTGTGGGAAATATAGTTGATAATTATGTAATATCTGTGTATAGTAACAGATGTTAACTAAGTTTAATGTGGTGATCATTTTTAGCATATCATATGTAATATATAACATATTACATAAAACATACATTGTATAATAATATAACCTAGTATTATAATGCATAATTATGTGATCTATTATATGTAATAGATTACTTGTGTATGCATCTTTATATGTAAATTTGTACAGAAAAAAGCAGTATTACACATTCTTTTCAAGCATATACTGAACATCACTAAAAATCATCAAGTGGTCTTCCCAGGTGTCTTAGTGGTAAAGAATTTACCTGCCAATACAGGAGACGCAAGAGAAGTAAGTTTGATCACTGGATCCCCTGGAGAAGGAAACAACCCACTCCAGTATTCTTGCCTAGAGAATCCCACAGACAGAGGAGCCTGGTGGGCTACAGCTGAGCAACTGAATACACTCATCCTCAGCATTTAGCATTAGATCACAAGGCAAGTTTCAACATTTACAAAAAAATTGAAATCCCGGTGGTTTATTTGGGTCATCATAACAAAATACCATAAACTGAAAGTAGTGAGAGTGAAAGTCGCTCAGTCGTGTCCAAATCTTTGCAACCCTATGGACTATACAGTCCATGGAATCCTCCAGGCCAGAATACTGGAGTGGGTAGCCTGTCCCTTCTCCAGGGGATCTTCCCAATCCAGGGATCGAACCCAGGTCTGCTGCATTGTAGGCGGATTCTTTACCAGCTGAACCACGAGGGAAGCCTAACTGGGTGGCCTTCCCAGAAGGCCACAGAAATTTATTACTCAAGTTCTAGGGGCTAAGTCCAAGATCAAGATTCTAGAAGTTTCACTGTCTGGTGAGAGTCTGTTTTCTGGTTCGCTGTGTCCTCATATGGTAGAAAGGTCACGGTAAATCATACTGACATGTATAGAAATACAGAATCACTATGTTGTATACCAGGAACTAAATAACATAGTATGTCAATTATATTTCAAAACAAATAAACAAATAGACTCACAGAAGAAGAAATCAGATTTGTGGCTATCAGAGATAGGAGGTGGCGGGGAGGGGGAACTGGATGAAGGTGCTTAAAAGGAACAAACTCCCAGTTGTAAGGTAAATAAGTCCTAGCAATGTAATGTGCAACATGATAAACATAATGAACGCTGCTGCATTGTCATCTATACCAGCCTCTGAGAGCTAAAGTATGCTTGTGTTAATTTATCCCCGTGTTTGTTTCTAAAGCACCTGGCATTTGACAGAGATGTTTTCCATCTGTGCTTTAAGAGAAATGCTGTGGTCAACTGCTCTGAACCAGCTGGCTCTGACTTGACCACAGACACGTACCTGAGCAGATGAGACCTGGAGGTATCCGAAAGTTACCTTTGCTTCATTACCATGCTAAGATCTCTGCCCAAGGAGGGATTTGTTCTCTGCTAGGCACAATTTGTTCCATGTGCAAAGAATTGTGGAAGACTGTGCGAGCCGCAGCTGCCCCTGGCTGCTCAAGGAAATCTATCTCCACCACTTTCCTAGAGTCCTGATGACAAGTCTCCCTCCTACACCTTAAAATTTCCTGGAGAAGAGGGTGTTTTTAGAGCATGAACTCTCTTTTCTCCATCCCTTGGTCAATGAATAAAGTTTCTGCTCTGCTATACTGAACTCAGTTTCCTTTGATTGGCATTTGCAACTCCAGGCAAAGGACCCAAATTAAAGGATCCTTGGTCCTTTGGGGATTGGTAACAGTATGTTATATATAAAAGCTGATGAGAGAGTAAATCTTGAGAACTCTCATCACAAGGGAAAAATATATCTGCTGCTGCTGCTGCGTTGCTTCAGTCGTGTCCGACTCTGTGCGACCCCATAGATGGCAGCCCACAAGCCTCCCCTGTCCCCGGGATTCTCCAGGCAAGAACACTGGAATGGGTTGCCATTTCCTTCTCCAATGCATGAAAGTGAAAAGTGAAAGTGAAGTTGCTGAGTCATGTCCGACCCTTCACGACCCCATGGACTGCAGCCCACCAGGCTCCTCTGGCCATGGGATTTTCCAGGCAAGAGAACTGGAGTGGGTTGCCATTGCCTTCTCTGAAAATATATCTATACATCTGTAAATATCTATATTTTTCTATTTCTTTAATTTTGTATCTATATGAGATGATGGATGCCCACTGAACTTATTGTGGTAATCATTTCCTGATATTCGTTTTCATTTCAAATCATATGCTTGCACACCTTAAAACTTACAGAGCACCCTGTACCAATTATATATCAATAAAACATAGAAGAAAAAAGTTTAAATAAAGACCAGATGAATTAAAAAAAAATTGATTGTAGGAAGGAAAGAGAAATGAATAGCAAGAGTCCACTGTATCATTGTGTTGATGGTCTCCTAATCCCAGGAGGGTGCTTAGGCCATTCTGAAACCAACCAAGAAGGAAGCTTGGAAGATAGGATGTCTGACTCAGACCTAAGGGTCTCAATGTTGTGGTGAGCTACTTTTCTGACAACAGAGTTAAACAAGAGAACTCTGTTGGGAATGGCCTGAACCTGAAGTTTGGTGGGCTAGGGGGTGCATAAGTGACCCCAAAACCAGATGTAGACGTAGGAAAGGGAGCTGGACTTGGGCCAAAATGATCACCCAAAAGGGTGCAGTGACTTCAGCAAAAAGGTGGGTCGCTTGAATCTATCAAAGAAAAACAAAGCCAGATGCTAGTTAAAGTGGTAAGGACAAATTTTAATTAGTACTACACTATTGCAATAGGGAGAAGATTCCAGCATAAACTGAACCCAACTTTTAGTTGAATTTGTACAGAGGTGGCTGGGCAGTTTCAGGGGAGAAAATGGAATAGGGAGAGGGGAGGGCCTTAGCAGAGTCAGGGAAGAGTAAAATTATAAAAAGCTAGAAGGATGGGGTGGTGCCTGTGAAACCTTTCTTTGTTTGTTAGTTGGCCCTTATCAAAGTTAGATGTCTCTTCTCCCACAGAGAAGGAGGCAAGGCTCTATCTTCAGGTGTTGGCTGCAACAGTCAATTCTTTTGGCAGCATGGAGTTTTCTAGGGAGGCACTTGAAGGGAGTGAGACTTATCCTAGGAATGTGGCCTTGAGCTGTTAGAAACTATGTTTGTGTTTGTTCTAATCTTTACAGGCCAAGGTTGAGGCCTACTCAAGAGAGGGCTCAGAAGTGCCTGGCTGAAATGCAGTCACGAAGAGAATCTTCGTCAAAACTTATGTGAAAGTGACAGTGAAAATACTGTGGAACATGCCCAAGATTTTGTGCTGAGACAGACAAGAGCCATTCTAGAGAGTTTAAGGGACTTCCCTGGTGGCGCTAGTAAAGAAACTGCCTGCCAGTGCAGGAGACTTAAGAGACGTGGATTCAATCCCTGGGTTGGGAAGATCCTTTGGGGGAGGGTATGGCAACCCACTCTGATATTCTTGCCTGGGGAATTCTCATGGACAGAGGGGCCTGAAGGGCGATAGTCCATAGGGTCGCAAAGACTCAGACACGCCTGGAGCAACCTAGCACGCAGCATGAGGAGAGTTTAAACATAAGGCTGCAAAGGAATAAGGGTTGTTTTCTGAACACCTTCCCTGGTGGCTCAGATGGTAAAGCGCCTGCTTGCAATGCGGGAGACCCGGGTTTGATCTCTGGGTCTGGAAGATCCCCTGGAGAAGGAAATGGCAACCCACTCCAGTACTCTTGCCTGGAAAATTCCATGGACAGAGGAACCTGATAGGCTACAGTCCACAGGGTTGCAAAGAGTCCGACACGACCCAGCAACTTCACTCTGTTTACAATGGTCCAATTTTAATAGTTTAATACTAAACTATTCACACACAGTCATCCAGTGCCTCCTCCTCCAAAAGTCCCTTAAGAATGAATCTATTTGCATATACAAAGGGTAGGGTGCTTATGCAAGTGTTTATGCTTATATGTAAATGTATAAGAAGTTTCCTGGTTTTCAAGATGCTCTTAAAGGTCTATTGATCCCAAAGTAAAAAAAAAAAAATCTTACACTAGGCTAACAGGTCTAAGCTCTACATACCTACACCCTCCTCCCTTTTTAAATAATAAGTAATATTTAAATAATAAATAATAAGTGTTTTGTGTCACCCCCTTTACTTTAAAAAACTGGAAGTAATTTGTAATAAAACACACAGTTAGATGTGTAAATGCTTAGTCACAGTTTTACTGGATGCATAATGGAATAGTCATATGTCTGTAGTGTTAAAAAATAAGACATGCCCAAAATGGAATCAGTTATGCCAAGGCCCATGTTGCCAAACCAGGACCTAATTACAGTTTCTGCTCTCCCAGAAATGGAATCTTAAACTAGTTAATCAAGAATCATCTGATCAGCACCAGTTGGGTAAACTGCTTGACAGACTCCTGCCATCAACTGAAGGAAAATAACCTTGCAATAACAAAATGCTTTTTTTTTTGCCTCCTCTAACTTCCTTGTTCTTTCACCCTTCTACAGATAAATCTTTCATATTGTACAGCTTCTCGGAGCTCCTTTCTATCTGCTAGATTGGATGCTGCCCAATTCTAAGCATTTTTTGCCCAAACTTAAAATTTTTTATATAGCTCAGTAATTTCCTAACAGTTCCTGTATGTGGAATTTTTGACTGCAAAAGCTACAAATGCAGACTAAAACAAGGGTATTATATTGATTTAAATAACATTAGCTGACATGTTACTACTAGTATTATTTAAAAAGTTCTGAATGTTTCTTGATAAAGTTCTCCATAAAAGGAGGTACAATTTTCCTTTAGTATATTCAGTAGCCGCAATCCCAGAAAATTCAATGTACACTAAAGTCAAGCAAGAAATACTTGGTGTTTATCTTTTAAAAGAAGTGTCATTGATTACATTTAGCTTTACTAAATGCTATCTTTCTAACACTCAAAAAACACTCTCACAAATTTCCAGCTCACCCTCAGGGGACTATCCTGCCTTCGGGTGCTCTGGGAAGGTCCTTGAAGGTCATCTAGTCCCACTTCTCCCTCAGGCCTTTTCAGTTCCTGCCTAGCCCTCCCTCCTACCTTTCCAGTTTAAGGGGAATTTCTGGATTAAAGAGAAACCACTTTGTAGTATTTTTCTTTTAGAAAAATTGAGAGGATCCTACCTCTGATTATCCTATAAAGCCAAATCTTGATTATGTTTTAGATGCCCTGTGTGTGCTTAGTCACTCAGTCCTGTCTGATCCATGAACTGTAGCCCACCAGGCTCCTCTGTTCATGGAATTTCCAGGCAAGAATACTGGAGTGGGTAGCCATTCCCTTCTCCAGGGGATTGTCACAACCCAGGAGCCTGGGTCTCCTGCATTGCAGGCAGATACCTTACCGTCTGAGCCACCTGGGGAAGCATAAAACCCCCCAAGTCACCCAGGTTCTCAACCCTCCCTTTTTAGTGATTTTGCTTTTAGAAGATTCTCTGTATTTGGGGACTCTCCTGCAGAAAATCCCAGAACCATGCTGACTGACCTTATCACAGATTTACCTGTCTCTGTTTCAGGTCCCTTGGAGCAGCATATTTTCTCATGTCAGCTTCTCTCATTTCCCTCAGCCCTGATCCCCAACCCTCTAACCAATGCATCACTCCAGCTGAACAGTTTCTTAGTAAAGTTCTTACTTCAGTTCCTCAAACCTTAGTTCCTACCTCAGTGAGATAAAGTTGTATAATCCTTCCATTTCCTTGCTTTCCTCACCTGCCAAAGCAACAACTTTCTATAGTAGCATGCATCCTGGCAGCCTGTTAATGGAGGACAAGGTCGAGGACTGAAGAAAGGAGGCTACTACCGACAACAAGAAGACCAAAACACAGCAGACTCGGCTCCCCCAAAAGAAAATGGAAAAAAAAAAAAAGGAAGCCCAATTTAAAACCAAAAGCCACAGTCTCGATACTGTTTTAGGACAATGTTGCTGAGCACAAGGACTGGGTGGGGCTGGAGCGCATTTGCCTCAGGAGCTTAACTTTCAGCAGCTTCTGCTTCAAGCTAGTTGGTCAAACATGATTTGAAACCTCCTTCCCTGGTTAAAGCGGCTGCCTGCAATGCCGGAGACCCGGGTTCGAACCCTGGGTGGGGAAGATCCCCTGGAGATGGAAATGGCAACCCACTCCAGTATTCTTGCCTGGAGAATCCCATGGACGGAGGAGCCTGGTAGGCTACAAGGGAAGATCCCCTGGAGAAGGGAAAGGCTACCCACTCCAGTATTCTGGCCTGGAGAATTCCAGGGACTGTATAGTCCATGGGATCACAAAGAGTCAGACACGACTGAGCGACTTTCACTCACTCATTCCTCTTTGTGACGCCTCCAAGCCTCCATCTAGAAAGAACCAGGAACCCAAAGAGAAAGTAAAGTGGCAGAAATTCCTTAGAGAAAACTTTATCATTCATAAATTGGGTGAATAAATAAATTTGCAAAAATCATTTTGCTACTTACAGACCCAAAGGAAAAGCAAAACTGTTTTGAGTGTTTATGTGTATATGTGTATATATATATATATATATACATACATACACACATTTATATATATTTTAATTTTTAGCAAGTCAATTTTTTTTAATTGAAGTATAGTTGATTTACAATGTAGTGTGAGTTTCAGGTATAC